TCTCTCCCACTGCCCATGCTCCAAACACTTCCCATGGGCCAGGCCCTGCACTGGTCCCCTGTGATGACTCACCGGCCTCTGAGTGGCTCCCCTTTTTCAGCTGTTCTGGCTCCTCACTTCTGTGTGGGTCCACGGGAACCCTATTAGTGGTCTTGCTGTCCTGGGGGCCACCAAAGTCCTCTTCTCCCCTGCCGCCTCCAAGCAACTCCATCTAAAGGGCACAGCTGCAGCTCCTGCTCCATGTGCTCCAGCATTAAAGCAGCCGTGGCCCGAAACACTCAGAGCAGTTATTTCCTTCTCTCTTCGTGGTTTCTCCCACCTTCATGAACTCCATAGGTCACTCCCCTCCTCTTACCCTGAGCTCCAGTGGCCCCAGCTTGGCTGATGTTACATTTTTATCGTTGTAAATTCACTGATGTGTGGGAGAGAGTGACACTGGGGACTGCCTATTCCACCACCTTGACCGGAACCCATCACTTGATTTTGAAAAGCATGTATATGATTAAGGGCACCAAAGACCACTGTGTGATTATAACTTTGTACACACATTTGTAGATTACAAAAGCTATCTCCAGCAATCTACCTTAAAAGGAGAAATAGTGTTTTCAGGATTTAAGAAAAAAGAAACCAACCAGTTACAAAATCACCCCTGAAATGCAAGGCCATGTTAAAAATTAGACGTCGTTATTTTCACTCTGGGATGAATCAGCCCTGAGCAGAATCTTAGGCCAATGACAGAAGAAAAATGCTAGAGACCCTTCCTGACAGTTTAAATCATGGACGTCTGAGCAAGGGAAAGAACATTTCATAAGAAGTGACAGCATGCTTGAAGTTTTGCATTCAAATAGTTATTTGGACGACATCTAGAAAAGGTCCAATGTCACAGTCAAAAATATAACCTCTGAAAAACAGAACTGGATTCACCCCGGGCCCTTCAGCAGTTATCCCTGANTGATGACTCACCGGCCTCTGAGTGGCTCCCCTTTTTCAGCTGTTCTGGCTCCTCACTTCTGCGTGGGTCCACGGGAACCCTATTAAGTGGTCTTGCTGTCCTGGGGGCCACCAAAGTCCTCTTCTCCCCTGCCGCCTCCAAGCAACTCCATCTAAAGGGCACAGCTGCAGCTCCTGCTCCATATGCTCCAGCATTAAAGCAGCCGCGGCCCGAAACACTCAGAGCAGTTATTTCCTTCTCTCTTCGTGGTTTCTCCCACCTTCATGAACTCCATGGGTCTCTCCCCTCCTCTTACCCTGAGCTCCAGTGGCCCCAGCTTGGCTGAAGTTACATTTTTATCATTGTAAATTCACTGATGTGTGGGAGAGAGTGACGCTGGGGACTGCCTATTCCACCACCTTGACCAGAACTCATCACCTGATTTTGAAAAGCATGTATATGATTAAGGGCACCAAAGACCACTGTGTGATTATAACTTTGTACACACATTTGTAGATTACAAAAGCTATCTCCAGCAATCTACCTTAAAAGGAGAAATAGTGTTTTCAGGATTTAAGAAAAAAGAAACCAACCAGTTACAAAATCACCCCTGAAATGCAAGGCCATGTTAAAAATTAGACGTCGTTATTTTCACTCTGGGATGAATCAGCCTTGAGCAGAATCTTAGGCCAATGACAGAAGAAAAATGCTAGAGACCCTTCCTGACAGTTTAAATCATGGACGTCTGAGCAAGGGAAAGAACATTTCATAAGAAGTGACAGCATGCTTGAAGTTTTGCATTCAA